TAAAGATAATAGAGCAATCACATCTTTAAATTCTGAAGCGTAACTGTCAGATTTGTCTTGTTTTCAGGATGTGAAGCTTCCCGACGCCTATGAACGTCTCATCCTGGACGTCTTCTGTGGGAGTCAGATGCACTTTGTACGCAGGTCTGTCCCCGTTTTTCATTGCTGATGTCTTCTGTTACATTATGTAAACCTACCTTATTAGGACACCTACCAGTTCTTCACTCTAGATGGCGACAAAGTGCATCATTTCTTTGCCTCAGCATGACGGAAACATTGTTAAACTTTATATATACAGTAGCTGTTCCTTTGGAAGTATCGATCAGTCAACTGGTCCATTTGTATTCAAAGTCCAGCAATAAGAATATTGGTATCGGATTTGTTTTCTAAGCTCGTCCAGCGCCAAGGATTGCATCTTCTCTGATCTTGGATAAAACAATTCACACTTCTTCCATCCACAGTTTTGTAATTCCTTCTGAACATGGGCTACCTGTCATTCCCACATTACCCCTGATCTTGCTTCCCTCCATTGGCCTCCGTTACAATTCAGATTAAACTGATGAGCTATAAAGGTCTGCAAAACCTTGACCCCAGTTAGGTTCCTGATCTCCTCATACCTCATTTGATGTGCTGTTTACACGAGACCGCAAACGGTTGTATCCGCTACTTTTCTCTTTCGTATAGCCCGTTCGCTCACACGAGGCCGTAAAGGAAACGCGGAAACGGACCCCGCAAACGATAACGGGTCCCAAGGTGGATAGATCTGCAACCGGAATGCTCTGGGGGGCCAAACGGCTCCGTGTGTACGCCCTATACGATAATTTCCTGATAAAGATGAAGCCATAGCCCCACCTCTGCTGCTCACTGCTGTAGCATGGTCAGTAGCTACTGCTAGTGCTACTGACCATGCTACAGATGTTAGTACAAAATCACAACCATCAGCAACAAGTGGACATGGAGAATTACATGAACTACATGCTTGCTAAATCCACCAGAAGAGCAACCATGCTCGGGGCGTCTTCTTCACTGCCTTTGGTGTATTTTGTGGCGAAAATACAGCGCCACTTACAGCTCCGGTATATCTTTTACTATGTTATATAGAGGTTCGAAAGGGTAAAATTGCCAATTTAGAAATACAAAGCGATGTAGGTTAGAGTTATCCTAAAAATAAGCTCATATTTGAATTTGCCATAAAAAAAAACATCATTCAGTAAAAACAAGGCCCCACTGATCATCTACCCTCTGAGACGATTCCAGGGATGCCTGACTTGGGTTTCTAGCACCAGGGAAAGTGCCCGAGATCAGCCTCTTAATTTACCCAGGGCCTAGTGCTTGGCTTTGGGCATGAAAATTCAGGAAACTATTTTATTAAATATCTGAACTTTGGAGAGGAGTTGGGGGACACACGACACATCTACAGATCAAGACGAAGCGAATGGAAGTACTCCCATACTCCTAGCGTGTGAAAATGTTTGTGAAAAACGTGTGCAAAGTCACCGAAAACGGAGCAGTGGCTGTGATGCTAGCTTTGCGGCTAGCGGTTAGTTGCTATTTTTTATGTTTGAATGTTAAAAAAATAACAATCGACAGTGTAAACATAATTATGTAAATAACCCAATTTGTGTTTTGTGAAACGGAAAAGGATTTCACATTGTTTTTTGTTACTTTCGTTGCAGTGTCTTAAATGTAATTTAGGTTAACTTCCTGTTTGAAGTTGTTGCTATAGAAACAACATGATGGAGAAAAAAGTAATATCTTCTACATATAATAACCGACAAAGTAAAACACAACGCGTGATGTCATTGGTAAGCGACGATATGACCCCGAGCAGATATGGTACTTTCACCGGCATATGTACTACAGCGTCCAGGTGGTCTCGTGTGAACGGAATACTTTTTTGATATCGTATTCGGTTCGTTTGCGTTTCGTAATGGTCTAGTTTTCAACCACTGCAAAAATCTTGGCCTTTTATCATTTCCCTGCTCGTAGAACATAAGGTTAATACGCCTCAGCTGTTTTCGCCCAATCACTCTTCAATAATCTCCCCTAATCTCTCAGATTTGATTCATCTTTGGACTGTTTTAAAACATCTGTTTAAAAAGCCATCCTTATAATAGATCTCCTTCCCTGTCTTGTGTTCTGGTTGGTTTTATCGTTACTATTTTGAATTAGGGTTAGGATGAACTAAAATGTGCTATATGAATAAAGGTTGAATTGTCTGTCTCTCCAGTGATGAACTCAGGGAAGCATGGAGGATCTTCACACCTCTTCTTCATCGGATAGACAAAGAGAAGCCCAAACCTATTCCTTACAAATACGGAAGGTAGGAAAAGTGATTTACTATTCCCTCGGGTCGAAGGAGTTAAATACTGAGTGTTGATTGTTTCTCTTTTTTTCAGCCGGGGCCCGACGGAAGCAGACGACCTTTCAAAGAAAGTTGGATTTCGCTATGAAGGCACCTACAAATGGGTGAACCCTCACAGACTGTGAGCTGAGAGGAGGGTGGGAGTAGAGGTAGGGTAGTAGGAGGGGTGCAGCAAGGGTAGGTAGGTGAGTTGGTTTGTACTGGAGTGTCTTTTGAGGAAAGAGGCATGTCCTATGTGCATCCATCACAGTAGCAGAAAGGAGCTTTTATTTCTCAGGTATGGCCATTGTTCCCTGGAGTGAGTTCATCAGACATCAAAAGGAGATATATGAATGTATGCTGTAATCATGACCTTATACCACACTTAGTGTTAGATTTGTTTATTTTTATCATACAACGATTTACATGTTTTATTTTAGAGGTGGGATCAAGTCAGTTGGAGAGAGAGCAAATTAGATCGTATAATTTAGTGAAGAAAATAACGGTCTGATGAACTAGCTCCATGTCTCTGTCTCTATTAATTAGGTCTTATTTGTCAGGATGGTAAATGGAATAGCTGAGCAGAACAACACACTCAGCTGAGTCATGCTCTCTCAGATTGAAGCACTGTACCAAAGAGGTAACTGAACAACGCAGAGACGAGGAACAACCAATGACTGTTCACCAGCTGTCACTAATCCTCGTGATTGTAATACCATTTTGCTTTGACTGCAATTCATAATCACTCTTTCTGGAATTTCTTTTCACCACTTGCTTACTCTCTTTTCGCCTCCTTTAGGATAAATAGGCTCTGGTTTACAAAAGGCAATGTAGGCAGTTTCTGTTCAAAGCACTCATTTTGGAATAGTCTTAAGTGTCCTTCCGGACAAACCATACAAGCTCTCTGTCTGAGCTTCATTCCCTTTTGTTTACATTTTGTTCAGGTTTATTTAAGTTTCTGATGTTCATTCCATATTTCTGAAGGTTCAGACAGCAGCGGTGTCCACCACAGGTCACCAGTGAATGTCTTTGTAATGACGTCCTGAATACAGCTGGACACACATGTAATGCTAGCTACATTTTCACTACTTGTAATAAACTTGCTTCTCTGTTCACTTGTTTTTGTATCGCTTCATGTTAGGAAATCTCATCATTTATTACGATTGGTGTATCTGCAGTTAAAAAAAATGGAGAAATGTTTTTTACTTTTTGGGAAATGTGTTTATGCATGCTGAAAAAAAGGCATGTTTTAGTATGTTTATAAGAGACAAAGACTAATATTATTTGAAATTAAATCTCGTAAAAAAGGCAGGATGTTGAAAAAACACTATAGTATTAGTTGAGAAAAATAATTTAAAAAGTCATGTCGATTCAGTATGTTGAAAAAGTAATGTTTTAGTATGTCAAAACGCATAGTATTCGAAAAGATCCTATTGAAATATAAGTCAAATTTTAGGATGTTGAAAAACAAAAAGTATAGTATCATTCGAACTTTGAAAAAAAGTCATAGTATAGTTTGAACATTTGAAAACATTAGGTGAAAAGTCATACCATCTTGAAATTTACAAAAAAAATGTTGAAAGAGGCTAAAGTATGTCAAAATGTATCAGAACACGTCATAGTGTAGAATGTGGAAAACACGTCTGAGTACAACAAAAAAGTCATGTTGAAACATTTGCAAAAAAGTTATAGTATGTTGAATAAAGTTCATAGTACATTATTTGGAACTAATGTTATGCAAATTCATTCGAACCACCTTCACCCTGGGCCTTCAAAGCGAGGGCCTTGGGGAGGGGCCCGAGGGAAACATCCCACAGCCAGCCGGTGGCCTCGACCTGCAGAGCTGAGTTTATTTGCTGAACAGCCTCCCACATATTGTTGTTTTGAGAAAATACACTTTTCTGGGTCTCCAGTGTCAAATAGATACATTTCACTGTAAGGTTTTATTTATTTTTGGCTTCAAAGTGGGATTTGTCCCTCAGTACACCCTAGTTCACATGTGTCAAACTCAAGGCCCGGGGGCCAAATCAGGCCCTTGGTGGATTTAATTTCGGCCCGCAGGATAATGTTTAATTACTATTAGACCTGGCCCACCGGTATATTGAACGCACACCTTCACTCAATCCTGAGGATTTCCTCAGCTCAGAGCCTGAACCCAAACATTGATGAACTTGCACCCAAGATGAGATGCCAAGTATCGGCTTGAACTAGCATCACAGAGCAGCAAACTGAGTTCAAAAGGATGTTTCCTTCTGCACTTTTTTCTTGAGACAACAGGGCATGTTTGTTTTTTCTTTGAGGGAAATAGTTTTTTTTGAAGCTGTTCTTGGCCTGTGGAAAAATGTAACCATAAGAAATGACTCCATAAAAGCTGCAGATAGAGCCATAAGAAATGAATGCAACTGATTATTTCATGTTTAATGTTGTTTTTATAGGTAATAATTTAAGCCTTGTTAGTTCCAGGTTTAATATGTGCAATAAGTTCATTTTTTCAATAAGCATTGAACCAGTCCGGCCCTAGACTAGTACCGATTTTTTATTTATTTTGGCCCACTGTATTTTTGACACCCCTGCCCTAGTTGTTTTAACTGCATTTAAATAAAAAGGTCAATGATTGCCTTTCTAATGAGAGCATGACAAATGATTCCAGCGATGATTTAACAACATAATTAGTTTATTCACAGACAAATGTTGACATTTTGCAACACACAGTAGCTGTTACTGAGTGAAACCGGGTCAGGCAGGTTACAATAACACATGGGATACTGGACGGACGATAAGTAGTTAAGTCTTTGGTTTGACGAAAAAATAAAAAGACAACGGCCTAGACTTCGCAACCGTGCATTCTAAGGCACTTGCATTTTTATGTTAAAAACAGTTGCTGTGCGATCGACAGTATGTTATATACAGTACAAGACAGGAGACATAGTGATTTATGTAAGACACTTTAGAGCAAACAAAAACACAGCGAGGTATTCCATCTATAATTATATAACTTGAGATGATTGACAGGCGTTCACAGATCAGCTAAATTAAAGTTACATAAAGATAATTCCCTCTTAAAAAGGCTGTCAACAGGTCTTTTCCCTGAGCCCAGCCACAATCTGAATGCATGATGCAGTGCCATATAAACATTGTACCAAAATATTTAAGACTGAATGGCAGTGAATGGTTCCCTAAACAGGGGTCATTAAGTGTTAAAAAAATTCATATTGAATTATGATCGTTTTGATATCCAGTAATGTCTGCGTTTCTTTATAAGTGTTTTTAATTTGGCTGCTGACTGACTCCATGCATTCTGATTTGTTCTGGCTCGGCTGAAGAATGGAAAACAATCTCAGGAAACAAGAGCTATCTGACAATCACATGCGGAAATTAAAAACATCCTTCAAGATTCACATAAACGTCAGGGAAGGAAAGAAAGCACTTCATGGAAACTGAGTGTTAAGGACAAATTGGTAAAACTTAGAGAACACAGATGTGATGCGACCTCTGAACACACACTGATCTGCAGTCAGTGGTTGCATGACAGCTGTGGAGGGACTGCTCGTCGGATGAGAAATGGTAATGTTCTCCGTTTAGAAGGCACTTGGTCAGTTTGTTGCTTTCTACATGTGCTCGGGGTGGTTCTGCAAACAGCTTATGAACTCTGTGACGGGATGGCCCTGATAGCAGATCTGATACACGGCATTGAACAGGGGGAACCTGGGAGGAAGGAGGAGGAACGGTGAATTCAAACATCATGCTGGACTGAGTGTTTTCCACCCAGCTGTGAGATTGTGTGTGCTGCAGCTTCACTTACTTGTCGACGAGGTCTTTGTGCTTGAGGATCAGGTAAACCTCCGCTGCCGTGGCCGGGCCCTGCAGCTTCTGACCGTTCAGCATCTCCTTCTCCAGCTCCTCGATGGTCTGACACAAACATGGAGAGTATGCAGAATGTGAGCTCTTGTTAAATAGACAACTAAGAACTACATTACATTTTTTATAAAAATATATCAAATGATCTATATAGTATGTGGAAGACAGTTAACATACTTAACTATAGACTAACATTTTTTTATTCATTCAGTATTATATACAAAAATAATCTCCAAGATCTTCATTTAAAACAATAAACTATTTAAATGTGAAGCTAGATACATTTAAATAATTGCATATTGACATTTACAACATTCCAGGGCAAAGCAGCCAATCTCTGGGAAGCAAGATCCAAAAACACATCGGCAATGTTCCGCTTATTACAAAACACACTACATAAGAGAATGAAACAAAGAGGTAACTTTAAGTTATTAGAGTTATTATTGTCCCTTAATGACATAAATCTTATATTTTTGAAAGAGTCATGCCAGTTTAAGTGAGGAACTTCACAATAAAAGTGTCTTCAAAACCTAAGACATTTTTCTTGAACTTATTTAGTGCCTGGCCAATAAGGGAACAAGGTTTGTCAGTCATTTATTCATATTGTATTAAGGCAAGGCAAGTTTATTTATATAGCACCTTTCAACACAAGACAATTCAAAGTGCTTTATAAAAATAAGTAAAATAACTTTAACTTGAGTTCATTTTACTGAGCTTGAGAAGTACAAGGTCATATATACAATAATGCAGTATAAGACTAATTCACTGCAATTGCTATTGAGAAGCAGTAACCATTACATGTTTAAGATATGTTAAAGCTGCATTTCATACAGTATGTTACGTTGTCTGTGAGGGATCAGGGAATCCACACAGACAGTTATCACTATACACAAACATTACTAGCAACAAATCAACAGCAGTCCTCAGCTTTGGCTGCCGGATATCACATTTCTTAAAACCTAAATGTCCTTTTCTCAATAATTGAATAAGCGTTTGAAAATCAGCGCTCACCTTCCCAGTCTTCACGAATGCCTCGGCCACCTTGCGGTTGCGGCCCCCGTAGCAGGTGGTGATGAGGTCGGCCACGCCACAGCTCTCCAGGAAGGTGGCGGAGGACACGGGGCCCGCGGTGCAGAAGATCCGGGCGAAGGCGATCATCTCCATCAGACCCAACCGGATCACTGCTGCCTTCGTGTTGTCCCCGAAACCCAGACCGTCACAGAAACCGGCTCCGACCGCAACGATGTTCTGAGGACCAGAGAAAGTGTTAGGAAAGAGATGGAGACACACCTAGATACAATGGACAGGATACAGTAACAGCATTCACATATTGTGTAATCAATTAAAGAACTTTCTATTTGTATCCTGAGCAATAACCATCAGTTCCTATAAGTGTTTTGGAAGTATATACATTCCACAATTAAAACGTTGCCATAGTCCAATATTAAAGGTGGGGTAGGTACGTTTGAGAAACCGGCTCGAGATACAGTTTGTGTTATATTCCATGGAATGCTCTTAACATCCCGATAGCAATGAATATCTGAAGTGCTTTGACAAAAAATCCATAAAAGAAATGTCATCTGTGGAAGCCGTAGCGCTGTAAAAAGCACGACCAATCATTTTAGCCGACCCGGCTAAAATAACTGGATGGCCTACCTGCCTGTCAGCCTTCTGTGCACAAACTTATGCCTCATTGGTCATGTGCGCGTTCGTGTGTGTTGGAGGAGGGGCTCTGTAAGGAAGATTGTTTCCAGCTGTGTATTTTCAAATTCTAGCGCACTCGAGCTGGTTTCTCCAAAATTACCCACCTCACCTTTAAAGTCTTAAACTTAAAAATGTTCATAAAAAAAAGGCCAAGAGCATAATTTTAGAGAAGCTGAAATTAAAAGTATTTTTGGGCATTTCTGGCTAAAATGTGATTAACAAATTCACCAAAATCATTTCTGATCATTTTTCTGTTGAGCTTCAATTTATTAATCCACTATGTAAAAATCTGTGAATACAATACATCTATTTAGGAGTCAAGGAAAAACACTATCTTTCAAACATTTACAAAAAAAATTGAAACCAGTTTTTATGTGTGAGCTTTGTACGTGTGTTTAACATTTGAAGATTACACATTCACACATGGATTGATCTGTTAATTGAGAATATTGAGACAAATGTATCTCCATAGTTCTGTAATAAACCACCTTCAGGGCTCCGCAGATCTCCACCACGTCGGACTCCTCCACCACCGTGACTCTGAAGTTGCTGGTCTGCATGAGCTCCTTCAGGAGGGCCCCGTGGTTCTTGTTCTTACACCCTGCAAGCAGAAAGAAGCACCTGCTTATCTTTTGGCATTTCTCCAAGTTGACCATTTAAAATGAGTACTTTTATTAGCAGTCATGATTCAAACAGTGACTCTGCATATTTTAGAGTACAGCTGTAATGCTCCATTACATTACACTGATCCGATATTAATCCTTCCACACACACACTCAAAGGAAATCCCATTAACCATGGGGTCATGCGGTGCATTCAGACGTGTAGGAAAGAAATGTGAAACTAAGGCAGCCCTCTGTTATTTACACAACATCTACAGAGCAGAATAAACTTTCACCCTCATGCTGACGGAGCAGAAACACAGAGCACCTCCTGCTTCATTATTAGAATCTAAATCTTGATTAAAGTGCAACTTCGTCCCAACAACCCTTTAATAAGCAATTGAAAAACAATAGGTCAGAGTGAGAAATAAAGGCCATGTAATCACACTCACCAATAGTGGTCTCACAGAACTTCTCATCGGCCACCTCATTAGCGATGTTGGCGCCCATCAGCACGCTCATGTTGATGCCCAGCTTCTCCTGGATCACATCGGAGATGAGTTTGAGTCCATCAGGCCCCTCGTCTACGCCCTGGAGGACAAAACACACAAGCAGCGTATTTACATTGAGCCACAGCACACTGTGATCTGGGTTAAAGGTCGCGCTGCACAACTGGTTAGGGCAGTCTTACAGAAAGTTGGTTCGCATAGGTTTGGTACATTTCACATTTACATTTGTTCAGAGGATCTACAAGCACACATTAAATAGCAATACTATATCCGGTTCAATTGAAACCATACACTGTAATCTTTCAACGCATTTACAGATCATTAGCTAGATATAATAGTAATTTAGGAAAGTAGTCGAAGAAACATTATCATGCGGGATATTTACTGATCAATCATTCTTAATGACGAGTTTAAATGTATATTTTTCTATTCATTTCTTAGAAATCTGTTTTCCCTTTAAACCTTATGTTTGCACACAGTCCACATTGTCGACTAACATTTTCAAAAGTTACTTTTCCACATTCGTTATCTCACAACAGGACACAATTGTGTATGTATTTGATAAACGAATAGATTTAGCAAATTAATAATTTGCGCTTTTTATTATCTGCTTAAGTGCTTAGTTAATATCTGCAACCCTAATCAAACAACATGAAGAAGCATTCAGAGACAAATGGATAAGAATTCAAAGAGCAAAGTCGAACCTTGATAAGTGACATGCCCAGAGCATCGGTCTTTATCTTCCCCTTTATGGAGTCGCACACTTTTGCGACAAACTGGTGCGGGATCACAAACACCAAAATGTCTGCATCACAGGACGCATCCACCAGGTCTGGGACGGCCAGCTGAGGAGGAAGAGGAGCGTGAGGAGGATGTTCAAATGTGATGCACCCTACATAAGAGCTGGTGCAACAAAGCACTTTAGGAGAACATTCAGATATAATATCTACAATTACAATCTATTATGCAAGCTGCGATGGAGGAAGCCTTTTAAAGTAACAAGAACAAACGCATGTATACACATTGTGCCTCAAGGACCGAAAATAAGAAACATTTCTGTAACTGGAGTGCATGCATGTTGTAAACAGACAGCAAAGCAACAGGCTGGACAAAGAATATATGTTTTAATGGTGAAAAACAAACTGTCCTTACCACATTAGCTGGCAGCTTGTGACCAGGAAGGTACTTCACATTTTCATGGTCAGTGTTGATTATCTCAGTCAGTTGGCGCCCATTCACCGTCTCCTCGAACACCCACATCTTCACTGTGGTGTCAAAATTTGAATTCTGAGCAGCATTGGCACCCACTATCTTGGCAATGGCAGAACCCCTGTATTGTTAATAGGTACAGGTTATTAGTTGATCTACATAAGAAAGCATGTCACATTGCATTTAAAATCACTGTTAATTAACAAAACAAGGAAACAGCGAGTGAGGAATCCCACATCTAGTGATTTTGCATTTTATGTCTTAATGTCAGAGTTCAAAGACTTGTTAATATAATAAGATTGCTGGTGTGAGCATTAGGTCAATAATATTCATGGGTTCCTGTGTTTCCTGCTGACTTACTCAGGAGTTGGTGCCCTTTGATCAGGAGCAGAATGACCTGGCAGACTACACTGAAGATAAGCTGAAATGTGTGACCATCTACCCCTCGGTTCATGTGTGGAAACAACTCCTTTTTAAGAAATCTGTTGATTTTATATTTATACAGTTATTTTACTTAACGGCTAAAACAGGATTTTGAGATATTCTTCTATTAATGTTGGACCAATTAATTTAAATTCAGCATCACAACAACAGCACATAAGGCAACAATGATCTTTGAAGTGACATTTCTTTCCAACAATAGCTTTAATCTTGAAAAGCATACCAAGCTTTAATCAGATGTTTCATGAAAAACAAATGTTTGTTTCGATTAAGCAAAGCTCTATGCCGAGTTTAATATAATCATTAATACATTATTTAATGGCTTACAATTGTGTTTACTACTCTGTGGTTTTAAAGTCTACATGTTTATGTTAAATTACGACACTTATGAATGAGGTTTGATGAGAACACCATCCACTGTAGTTCTGTGGCACATTGTAGACAGCTAATAATTATATAATGGTTGTACAATATCATTAACATACTAATATAGGTACTAAGAAGAGTGAACTCAAATATAGTAAGGTTAACGTTCATGTTGCTGAAGCAGTAAGGTAATCGCTAACATGACCGCAGAACCCATTAATCGTGACTCACATGTGGTCAGTTTTATGAACACTCAGCGGGTTTCATAGCAACCGAACCAAGGCTACAATCAGCGTTTACTCAAACTAACTAACTGTCAAATAGCCGTCAAAGGTATACAGTATATAGTTTTACTACCTTTCCCATAGGACATGTTGTTAACGGCTAGTTAACGTTAGCTGGGATGCTGCCCAGTGATGCTAAGTTGGCTAGCAACGGTTCAAAGGGTTATCAAGCAATATGTGATACGTAAAGATTGCAACGCATTCTAATGTTAGCATTTCAACACGTAAACCGATATTAACACAGCAACTTGCCAGTTTCCAGAGCCAATAATGCAGACTTTCTTCGGAGCTGCCATCGTGGAGAGGTAAACCGATGAATAGGGGTTGAGTCGAAACAGACTGTAGACCTGCAGTGTGGTTATGCAACACGCTGAGCAGCAGCATCTTATTGGCCTTCCGGGGGGAGACTCTGCACCGCCCTTTAAAACCAGGGCCAAGTCCGGTCATTCATTCATCCACAGCCCCTGGGCTCAAAGTAAGGCGGGCAAAAGTGAAGTCTGCAGGCATTCCACGTTCTATGACCCAAGACCTCTGGTTAATGATGTGATAAGTATGTGTGCAAACAGTCTTTTAAGCAGACAAAGTGGTGGAGGGTTCTGTACTTAATCCTTCTGTCCTATTACCAGTGTTGGGCAAGTTACTTCCAAAATGTAATATATTACATATTACTTATTACTCTCTTTTGAAAGTAATAAGTTACATTACAATATTACTGTCTCTGAAATGTTTGTCTGTGATAGGATAGTGTGATTGTGCGGGCGTTTACAAGTCGGTATACATGTATATCGAGGTTTCACGTATTATGATACACGGTACATATACTAACTAGTACTTTCACAAGAGTTTCGACCATTGGTCCGACGTCGATCCAAAATTACTGAAACAAATCCTAGAACACTTAGAATGAGTTCGTCATTGATATCCTTCCAGAACTAATTTCCTGAACTACTATACATCTACGTACCGTAACCTTCAGGTCTTAGACCCATTCATTTCCATCTGTCTTCCATTCGCATACATTTCACTTACATCCCCTCATCCCCGATGTTAAGTGTTATAATCAGGGGGAGACTAAACAAGTATACACCCATTAACAATCGGATGATGCATAATGATAAAAATGATAAAAAAACATGTATGCGGAGTTGATTGTCTGTAATACAGAAGTGAGAGAAGAGATGTAGGTAGTTCATGTGATGAAACTTGCATATGAGAGTGAGGAGAGGATGAAGAGGTAGGAGAGAGTGAAGAGCGAGTAGAGAGTGAAAGTACCGAGTGGAAATAGATGGAGTAAGGTAGAGAAAGAAATCAATAGAGAGAGAGAGAGTCTTAGAAGTAGGAAATAGAAGAGAGTTGATTATGGAGGAGAGGGCTGACAAGAGAGTCATTGGTTAGATATCTTGAATATTTAAAATTCGAAATTTTTTTACTTGCCTGTAGTCCATTGTCTGTAGTAGGAACAATGTCTAGTCAGGCTATTTCAGTACGTTTTGCGCTGTAAATTTATCAGTCGTAAACGGTGCCTTCCGTCACGTGGCGATGCATTTGGAGGATTGAGAATTGACACCATGGGGGGAAATGAACGTGTCGTTAACACCGTATATGAGACGGATGTCGTCAACACCGAATACATATTAACACCGTATATGAACGGTGCCGTTCAACACGTACCAAACACGTTATGAACCGGTGCGTTCAACACCCTAGACACCGTATATCTGATGACGGGTGTCTATGGTGTAGACACCGTATATGAACGTGTCTATAGGTGCCTCATTCCGCCGGAGACACCGTCTATGGCCTTCATGAACTGGTGACGGGGCGTCTACGTGCTTTACGCGAACGACAGAGAGGTAATAGTGCTTTTTACCAATTTCGTTGGGAGTGATTTGGGTAGGTTGTTGACGTAGATTGACGTCTGTCATCGTTGTCCCAGTCTTACGCCTGTAGTGCAATGGGGAGGCAACACCTGTGATCGAATGAGGGCGGACTGGGCGTCGGGGGGCTCGTCGTCGAAGCAGCGGGTCTTTGTGCGGCGGGGAAGACGCCGGGCGTCCACCGGTCCATATAGTTTGTTGATGTATGCGGCATGTGCACCCATTCCCTAGTAACCACGTCGACACATATTTGTGTTCTGTTACCGATCTTTATAAAGTAACTTTATCAATGGTATTAAGATGTACGACATTCGTTTACAACCAGAGGGTGGAGGTGGGAGGTGGCGGTGGGGAGGGTGCTTACGATGTTTTTATAGAGTATAGGGTTCAAATAATTAGTTGCTCGCCTACCAACGTCGACTTTACAAGAGGTCAGTGTTTCAGTTGAGTGTAGTTACCTACACTCATGGTCAAAAAGTTCGTGTTCATTCTATGCAAGAGAAGGTCTCATATACTACCCTGGTTCCACTAGCCTACATCATCCGATGTACCAAGTTATTATGAAAACGGAAGTTACAAACGTAAGTTTGTACTCGTTACAATTTATTATAAAAGGAACTAAATGTTTACATTTGGAAGTAATATCAGGGAACTGTCGCCCAGGGACATGAACGACATAATTTGTTGCACAGTGTACAATTCTTAAATGTTAGTTTAGCTCTAAGTTGATTCGGGCAGCATTGATGTTCAACAATCATTCGGAAATTCCCCGGATGTGTCGAAAATGATTATGGTGTAACGGAAAAGTGCACCTACGGTGTGTGGGGTGGTGTTGGGTGTGGAGATGGGCGGTAAATTTATGGGAGTGCGAGTGGGAGAGAGAGCGCGCCGAGAGGAGAGACCACCTTTCATTGATTTTTCATTGAATTTCAGTGTGCGGAGGCGAGTGGAGATGGTGGAGGAGGTGTGC